GATTGAAGCCCCAGCCCCTTATGTGAGCCACTTGAAATAATTCCTTTGAAGTCGTAATTTGCCTTAAATGCTATCATAAGGGTAGGACACTAATTGAATAGGATTTGTGTCTTTGTAAGAAGACACTAGGGATGTATTTATGCAAAGGAAAGGCCATTTGAAAACTCAGAAGGCAGGCAGCTGTCACCAAGCTAAGGAATGAGGCGTTCAGCCCAGCATTGTGGTATGATTGGGTTATGCTGCTGCCAGTGACACCAACATTCCACCTGGGTTCTTGTTCAAATCCTGGCTGCTCTTTCTGATTCAGCTCCTTGCTGAAGGTGCATTAAGTCCTTGGGTTGCTGCACCCGGGTGGGATACGAGATAAAGATCTTGCCTACTATTGTTAGCCAGCCCAGCCTTAGCTGTTGAGCTTTGGCCAAAGTGCTTACACCATATACTGGACTAAAGAAAATCTCTTTAAGAAATGGTGGTAACAAAACTGGATGTCTCTTTATGTGAATGAAATTAGATGCATGCCTCTCACCACACAGCAATTGACTCAAGATGGATCAAAGACATAAATTCAAACCTGAGACTGTGTAATTGCTAGAAAAAAATCTAGGGTAAATACTCTTAAGGCATTGCAGGCGGCTATTTGGGCAGGACTCTTAAAACACAACAGAAGCAAAACTAAACAAAGGGGACTATATTAAACTCAGAATCTTTTGCACAGCAAAGGAAATGACTAATAGCATGAAAAGACCTCTAACAGAAAGGGAAACAAATCTGTGAACTACCTATCTGAAAAAAGGATTAATATTCTGAAAATAATGGCAACTTAAACACAGAACAATAAAAATCGACTAATCCAGTGAAGAAAGGGCAAAGGCCTTTGATAGACAGTACTCAAAAGAAGAACTACCAAGGATCAATATGAAAAAGGCTCGACATCACTAGCCATCTGAGAAAAGGAAGACAAAATCGAAATGAAATATCACTACTCCTGTAAAAATCACAGATCCACAAATATTGATGAGAATGTGGACAACGTGGAATACTTATACACTGTTAGTGGGAGTGTAAACTAGTGCAGCCACTGTGCAGAAACAGTGTGGGGATTCTTAAAAGCTGGAAATAGACTTGCCATATAATCCAACAATCCCACTAATGGGGAGATACTTAAAAAACTTGAGCACACCGTATTAAGTGTTGAGTTCAAGAGAGACATGCACCGCTTTGTTTATACCAACACTGTTCAAATTAGCCAAAGTTTGAAATTAATGAAGATGCCCATCATTACATGAAAGGATTAAAAGTATTGTAGATACAAAATGCAATATTGTTTTATCCATTTCAAAAAAGAATTACAATCTATCATTTTCAGCAAAATGATGCAACTGGAGGACATATATTAAATAAAATAAGCCAGACCCAGGAAAAAAAAAATCCCACATGTTTTGCCATATATGTGAGAGCTAAATTTAAATAAAACAAAAAAGAGAAATATGTATCAAAAAAGAGAAATATTGCTGCAAATATAGTTTTGTTTTATATTTTGTTTTATACTTTTGTCAAACCATTTAAAGATATTATATTAGTAAAGTTTTAATGTGATTCCTTGATAACTTACTGTATATGGATAATATAGTCATCTTTTCCACTCAATTATTGCTTACAGCTGTTCTCTGTATTCTCACTAAGTTAGAGTCTTTTTGCTATTTACTGTAATTTAAAATGTGTTATCTCTAAAACTACAAAAAAAAAGCAAGGAAGAAGGAAATAGGTTGGAAAGGTGAGCAGGAAAAAACAGGAAAAGAGGGAGAGGAGGAAAGGATTATTATTATGTTCTTACAATGATAACTATAAAACACTGACTGTTAAAACCTAATTTAAGTTAAAAGAAAAAAATCCCCCCAAAAGAAATAACTTCAACATTATTTTAATTTATTTTATTATTGTAATTTATTATGCACTGAGATAGGTTAAATATTAGGCATTGGGAGAATAAACAAATACTTTTAATATAAATGCTAAGCAAAAAAGGTAGTATGCGATGCTGCAGAATAAATAAATAAATCATGTTTAATTTTGTGGCTATCATTCTAGGGGCTACTGTGTGAGAAAATGGTTAAATTGTTGCTTGCAACACTTACATCCCATGCTAGAGCAGTACTTCTAGTGTTAGCTGTTCTAATCCCAATCCAGCTCTCTGCTAATATGCTTCAAAAGGCAACAGAAATGGTCCAGTAATTCATACTCCGGCCACTATGTAGCAGACAAGGCTTTTTTTTTTAAGCTACAGAGTTCTGGCTTCTGGATTCAATATGGCCCAGTCCCAGCCATTTTGGCTATTTGATAATTAAATAAGCAGATGAAAGATCTTTTTTCTCTGTCATTCTATTTTTCAAATAAATTTTAGAAGGATGTGTCATGCCATAAAGGAAAAATGATCATACCTGTAATAAAAATAGGTTCATTGAGGAAAATAGTAATTGCTATGAAAATATATCATTTGAAATTTTTTTCCAAAATTTTAGCTATGTGGTTATGCAAATTTAAATTAAAAACAAAACTACTTCCTATTAACAAACAAAGCAAAACAAAACAAAAACCAAAACAGGGTGGGAAGGGGCACACAATTTCTCAGCTGGCTAATCCTCCACCTCCAAATGTGGTATCCCATTCGGGTGCTGGTTTGTATTTCGACTGCTCCATTCCCTTCCAGCTTCCTGTTTATGGCCTGGAAAAGCAGGGGAAGATGACTCAAAGCCTTGGGACCCTGTACCCAAATCTGGAAGAAGCTCCTGGCTCCTGGCTTTGGATTGGTTCAGCTCCTGCTGTTGCAGACATTTGGGAAGTGAACCAGCAAATGGAAGTTTTTCTGTCTTGCTTTCTCTCTATAAATCTGCCTTTTCAATGAAAATAAATAAAATTTAAAAAAAAAAAAAGAAAGAACTTAATCCCCTCACATCATGGGCACAAACTTGCTCTAATGGCTGGGAGGCTATTCTATTTGTCGTTGCTCCCTAGGTCATTAAAAAAAGTCATAATTGAGACATAGAGAATCTAAAGCTGTCAACACCTTTCTGGACATTTAGCCTCTGGGACTGTGCAAACCTAACTACTATCATTATGTTTTTTAACTTTACTTTTTTTTACTTTACATTCATTAAAATATTATATAAAAATATTTTTAAAAAAAGTCTTCTACGTATTAAATATAACCCTTACCCATTAATTATAGAAATGACATCCACTTTAAAAATATATATTTACTCATGAATCTTTTATATTAAGAGGGTTTTTTTTAGCTACAAAACTATTGCCTTTTTAAATGAGGATCATATGCTGAATAATGGAGCTTCCTATTTTATAATAGTCCTTTAGTTGTCTAGAAATTTTAATGAACAACTTTTAACTTTATGTTCCATTTCTGAGAAAGTATAAGAAAAAGGATGGAGCATGGAAGACATTTTCAATGATTATTGATAAATATATATGAATAAAAATAATTCACTGCGAGTGCGTTATTAGCAACTCAGAATTATTAGTAGAAAGTACATTTGAGTAGGACACATAGATAAACAATAACATTCTCAGCTAGGAGTTCACTTACTCTTATTTTGAAATGAGCACCAGGGTGTCAGTTTATAACATTGCTTTATTCGTCTATGTGGGAGTGTGTGTTATTGTGTGTGTGTATTTTGGACTCATATTGTGGTAACTGCATGCTGACATAGTTCACATTTCTTCCTTTAATGAAATGGCTTTTGTTTTCCCTTAGGAATGTAAAAAAGATAGCAACTGCAGATTACACAGAAGTAGCTGTTGCAGCATATGGCTATATTTACCTGTGCAAAAAGTATAAATAATTATTTTAGTAGCTACTGATTCTGAAATTGCCCTTCATTATGTCATTTTTCTATATGGACCTAAAAATCTTGCTTGTAAATAAAACAGCTGAGAGGCTTTCCAGATGAATTTTCTGATTGTATTTAAGTCACTTAGTAGTGTTTAATGTACTTAATGAATATACTTAAACCTTAGGAATTATCAGGAAATAATAAAAATAAGCCTCCAAACTGGACAAATTGTAGACTACACCCCACTAGTGTGAGATCCAGGCTTTCTCATGGAAGCCACTTTTGCCACATAACTTGGTAAATAAAGATCTGTGTTGGTCTTATATTTATCTCCTTCTTCCATACACATGAGGCAAAGGACTAGGCAATATATTCCTCCAAAAAGACCCAATCCATTTTCTCATACCTTTTACTCAGGCTACTCTTCACTGTCAAAACTAAATGCATTTGCTATTAATTAAAAAAAAATTTTTTTTAAGATTTTTATTTATTTTTATTGTAAAGTCAGAGAGGAAGAGAGACAGAGAGGAAGATCTTCTATCTGTTGATTCACTCCCCAAGTGATCGCAATGGCCAGAGCTACCCTGATCCAAAGCCAAGAGCCCGGACCTCCTCTGGGTCTCCCATGCAGGTGTAGGATCCCAAGGCCTTGGGCTGTCCTTGACTGCTTTCCCTGGCCACAAACAGGGAGTTGGAAGGGAAGCTGGGCTGCTGGGACTAGAACTGGCATCCATAAAGGATCCTGCTGCATGCAAGGCAAGGGCATAGCAACTAGGCTACCATGCTGCTGGGCCCTGTTATAAGCTCACTAGAGGCTCCCAGATTCACCCACATAAACGATATGTTCTCAAAGAAGATACCAAAAGAATTAATTTGATGCTCATATGTTGAACCTACGGGATCCCCACAGGTAAGGAGTTCACTGACAGTACTCAGTAACAACAAGCTAAAAATAGAAAAACATTACCATGCTGTTATTGTGTTCACTTTCCTCCAAGGCATTGTCTGATAAACATCATAATATCCAAGGGAATTTTGAATAGCTTTCTTGTAGAGTAGGTTAGAAAATCATCATTTCACAAATAGGTCACATCATAGTCTGCCTTAGCACCCTTCATGTAAAATGATAGATTGCATGATGTGTAGTACTCCTACCTGATTGGAAACCTTTGTGTCCTTAATTCATTGAGAATATTGGATTTCTGTTTTCCTTCAAGATGGCCTTCAGATTTTTGCCAGAATTCACTTCTTTTGGAAACCAGGACTTCCCAGAAAGTCAGGAAACTAAAATCAAGACAATATGCAAAGGGAAATTATCTGTACATATAGTATCACTTTCTGAAAAATGTAAGTTAATGTTCAAGTTCCTAGTAGTACACTATCTTAAGGAAAATTCATGGCAGATGCGTTTAAACACTCACAAAGTAAATCCATTATAACAAGAGTTTATGTTGTATTTTGGGCTTGCAAGGCAAGCAGACTTCAAAGCGAGGGCAGAAAAGGACATGTTTCCTGTGTGGTTTCCTTAAAATTCACTTCCAGTCTTCAGTCTTCACTTACGCCTCTTTTTGTTAATCTTTAATCTTCAGAAAATTAATCTATTCATAACGTAAACAGGAATGTACATAAGGATACTTTATAGTCACTTTTAACATGTTCTCAAGCTTTTCATACACAAAGTATATGTGTATATATATGTAGCTTACAAGTGAACAGTGGAAACTCAGCTCCCTGTAGGCTCCTTGACCCCAACTGTGGGAATGGTGAAGCATTAACTGTTTTCCTTCATATCACACATTCCATTTTCTTCATCTGAGGTGTGGGCAGAATTGAGCTCCTTATTAAATTCTATTGACACCAGAAATGGGGGAGACTGGAATGCCTATTAGGCCTAATTTACATCATCCTTTTAAGTAAGTAAAATAGCTCTGTAACTGTGGTGAAACATAGTAACTTGCACTGTTTTGAGGTACTGAAGAACCTAGATGTTTTCTGCCTTTTGTAATTCCTGCCTTAATTGCTTGGCTGGAGGCTATGTGAACTCCAGGCCTGATAGTCCACGTGACACCCATGACGCCCTCCCCCCCCCCAGGACACCTGGCAGGTCACGTAGGCAGACCACTCCTCAGGAAGGAGGTACCTGGTGTTTAGTAAGATCCACCGCCCTATAGCTCATCAGTTTGTACTTTTTGAAAATTGCTTGCTTCAAACCCACCAATAGAAACCTGCTAAATCATGACTGTATAATTAATAGCCTAAAATGTATAAGAACCTCCCCTGCTGGGCTGGGGGAGGTGGCTGGGAGACCTAGGTTATTCTGAATAAACCACCTTTATGCCTTAGCACCGACTTAAGACTTGATGATTGTCTGGGGATGTCAAAATCTGGCACAACACTACCACTGTTAGTCTCTTCTTTACTGGTGGTGGCAGAGACTCAGCTGATCACTAGACCATGCTGAAACAACTCCATGCAGGAATCAGAATGGTGACTGACTGCAGAGGTCTTAAAGGGATGAGGCTGCAGAACAACTCTTTCCTGTATATAGTATACTTACTTTCCTGTATAAAGTATACTTTACTTGAGATTTATTTATTTATTTATTTACTTATTTATTTATGACTATGTCTATTGGAGTGTTGCATTGGAAGCTCCTGTAGGCCCTGTGTAGAATACAGGAAAGGCAAGAAGGGAATATGGAATTTATCAGTTTGTCATTCTTCAAGTTACAAGGTCCTTAATAACTATCTTCTGACTTTCTTTATCTCCTAATTATTTTCTGTAGTCAATGGAAAACTTTAGTTATATGTGGGAAGACTTGAAAGAAATCGGGATATGTCATATTGTCAGAACCAGTGTCGTGGTAGTCTGTTGAAGTTAGAAAATGATCCTGGACATAAATGTAAACTTGACAATATGCATTATTTTCTTCAGAACTTGTTCTGCTAAATAATATGAATTCCTAAGGCCTAACAAAGTTGTTTCCATTTCAATCTCAGACACAGACATTTCTTGGAGTTGAAATTTACAGGTAATAAAGTCAGTAAGTCTAGAATGATCTATATGGTACTGAAGTTGAGTTGAAGGCATCAATAGATGCATCTGATTACTCATGCTCAAGTGTGTCTACATAAATAATTAGATTATATTCATGAATTTCTTTGCTCAGTCATCTGAGAAGGTTTGGAATCAGTGACAATTAACCAACAAAGAGTGCACCTGGCACCCAGAGTTAGTCTCCAAACCTTCTCCAATGAAAGAATTAGAGTTTGTTAGAGAATATATCAATTCCAGGGCGGGGGGAGGAAATATAAAAAGATTAGCTCAGATAATTTTTTTAGTATTAGAAATTAAGGAAGTGATTTAAAAATAAGATCACTTTTGGTAAGTCATGACAAAATAGTGGAGAATTCAAATGAAAAGTCATGAGCATAATGACTTCATTCCAAACAGAAAAACAGAGTAACCCTGCTGTGGCCACACCTAACCCCCACTGCATTAGTGTGGTGATTCAGGCTGAAGTCAGCACTCAGATGTCTTGTTGATAGAATGTGCCCTGAGGCGATGTGACAAAATGACCCGCATCTCTTTGGTCTTTCTTCTGGAAACACATAACCTCACTCTATGACAAAAACATCACATTCCAATGTGCAGCATTCTACAAAAATCTTGATACTAGGGAAAGTTGAGAAATTGTTAAAAACAAGAGAGGCCTACAGGATTTGGCAACAAGTGTCGTGTGTGGCCTGTGACAATCCAAGAAAATAAAGAAAACATTAAGTAAAAACTAATTCTCATTGAAATATGGCTGTACTAATTAAGCTTAATAATGATATAGCAGTGTTGGTTCATTTACTGTAACAAGTGTATCAGTGTCAGTAATAAAAGAAGATGGGTATGGTGCCTAGGCCACTGGGTTAGGTTGATAACATGATGTTGAAAAGGAAGAAGCAGTATTTCCTGTTCCCTTCTTCCTTCTATAATTATTAAACCTATATTTCGTAGTATCAGAATGTAATTATAGGATCACAGATATTTGTAACACATTTTAACTTGAATCCTGGGATATATAAAGTGTATATTAATACACCGGCATCCAGATAGAGTTAAATAAGCTTTTATGCTTCCTTAGCCCTAAAGCACAATGGTTTCCCTAAATGTAAAGCCTAGGAATGCCTTTGGAGAAACAATTTAAGGTTCTCTAAATTAAAAAAAAAAAAAAAGAAAGAAAAGAAAATTTCAAAAGATGTACCCAAAGAACAGGTCCAACCACAATCATTTTGGGAGATTTACACTGATGATGCTAAACTTTGTGTTCCATATTCATGCATTTTCTGGAAGAGGCTCATAGTTTTCATCCACTCTTAAGAGACAAAAACCCATGCTGATAAGGTAGAAGGAACTTTGCCCTGGAATTAAGCCAGTTTAGGTTTTGCAATTTAATCTTCTTAAAATACTGTTCTTACAATTTCTCAGCCTGTTTCTCCTCTGTTTATCACAGAGGAATGTGGTTAGATTCACTGGTGCATATAAAATGCTATTTATCCTTTTTCGAGACTGGTAGAATCTACCTAATACATATTAAGCAATCAAGAAATACTTTGCTTCCTTGAAAGGGATGCAAACATTCTCATGTTTTTCAAGATTTTTCTTAGTCAAGACCACAGCAAATTAAAATTATTTTTATTTTTTCACAGTTCATCTGCTATGTCAGTGTATTTTTGATTAATTAAGTCTCAATATTAGTATGATTAATCACATTCATATACATACAGTTTTTATGCAAGATAAATCATTCTACAAAGGAATTACTAGGCTGTCAGATCTTAATACATCTAAATATATCTTAATTGGAATTCAATTTCAAAGAAGAGAACAGTTATTCAAGAAATAGATGAAAAAACCTTTTCTTTTTGTACAAATAACATTTGTATGAAATGTTATTGTCATTTGTTCTGGTGTGGGAAAAAACACCTTTCAGTCACTCAAATTTATATTTTATCATTAGTTGAAAAATGTCATATAAGTTTTGCATGATAAACAAATCAGTTTTCTTTAGAAAAAAATGCGGCTTTACAAATGTTCTATTATGAAACTGATAAAAAGAAGCACTATTTTGCCTTCAAGTCCCCAGACTTTGCTCTCATTTCAAAGGCTAGTAACTAAAATGACAGTGAGCTCAATGAGTTTCATGTGGCCACTAGGAAATGATTTCTGCTTCAGTCATCTTAATAAAAGGCTTAGAAACACAGCAGACCAATTGCAAAAGTCAAAATGATGTCTAATGCATGTAAAATGATACACACAGAATGGTAAATAACATTTAAAGATTGATTACAATATTCTTTCAGAAAGATTTGTGTAACAGTCTTTTTTTAATGTAAGACACAGAGGTATGTGATTGGTTTTTGTGTTGTGATTAGCATAAAGCCTAACTTTTTTCTCTTCTTTGTGGATGGAAACAGTGAATAAAAGTTTACAGAAATAACTAATCAAATGAATCATTTCATGTCTACAGTATAAGTAAATCAAATTAGGTTTTTTTGACTCAGTTCATAATAACTACAGGAGAAATAAACCTACGTTTTTGTTATTTTTTTTTTAATTTGTTTTGCCAGAAGAAGAAAAAAGGCCAAAAAGGAAGGTAGATATGAGTACATAGGGGAAAGCTGCATCACAGCCCCTAGCCACGTGACATAAGCATTTCGTTTACATGTTCAAGAGAAGTTGAGGTCACTTGTTTCAGCACATATACAAAGCAGTCATGCACCAACACTAAGAGATGAATAGATAGATTTCCTTTTTTTCTAAACTGCAGGATGAAATTGCCCTTCGCTTTTCCTGGAAGCCTTATTTGCCAATTCTTTTTGAAGGTCCACTTGAGCAAGAATGAATAAAACAATTCAACGCTGACATCAAGGATAGCTTTTTTTTCAGCCTAACATCCTGCTCAAAATTTAGCCATCAGCTGGGGAATATCTTTCCATGTCATTGATGGTAACCATAAAATGTTGATATTTTGGCACTGATATTACCTACTTTCTATGTTAGTATAAGATATCTGGTACTTAATAAAATAATTCCCGTTAAGTGCTTTACACAGCTCTTAATACAGTATGAATATTTAGTACCTTGCACTATTACCATGTTACTCACATAAAGCTAGTATTTGCCAATTCACATTTTTCTTTATGATTCTGTTTCTTTTAGCATATTTGTGTGTTAGTAGGAGTTATTAGATTTCTGGGACATTTTAGGCACAATAAATAGTTAAAATAGCATTT